GGGAGGAGGGGTGGGTGGGGGGGAGGGAGGGGATGAAAGATTGAACCGGGGGGGGAGGGGGGAGGGAGGCAGAGATAGAGGGAGGTAGGACACTTAGGATGGGCATTGGAGGCTCATTGCGATGAGATCCTGGACTGATCTCACCGCTAGATCCAGGTTGTGGTGTCGCTGCATGAGCCGTTCCTTGAATCTTTGCTTGTCGGGGGTGGCTTACTCTTGATCGGGAAGGGATGGAGGTTTCTATTCAATAGCAGTTGGCTGATCTTCCTGGCGGCTTCTTCGACTGTATGCAACTTGAAGCCCGCTGGCAGTACGGTTACTCTTCGGAGGATGGGGCAGCTTCAACATGCGGGCGATTGTCCTTCTCCTCATCGGGCGGCTGGCTCCTCCTTCCTGCGTCATGTGCTGGCGGGGGGCCAGCTTTGGCCGGGTGTTCATCTACTAAGGATGGGATGCACCCTGGGTGTGCTTGCTGGCGGCTATGGCTTTGAATGTGTTGATGTCGTGACGGATTGTCACTCCCGCTTTCCGAGAGTGACATGGCGTATGTGGGTGGGGAAGTCGGTAGTGTCCAGGGTCGTCGGGACTCTCGGGATGGGGTGGGGGTGTCACTTACGAGGGTGGTGGCAATAGCGGGCAAGCGTGGCGGCGTGCAGGGCAAGGGCGCAGGTGCGTGGTGGCTGCGATGTGCACGTTTTGAATTTGAACGTGGCGGACTGGTTGGTGCAAGCGCGAGCGCGTGAGCGTGGGCGCTAGCGCTGGCTGCTACGCTAACCAACGACGCAGGTCGTGATTCTTCAATACATTTCTAACTACTGCGCACATGACCCCCCCCTCCCCCCCCCCTTCTCTCTCTCTCACACACACACAAGCATGCGGAGGAAGAGTGTGCACAGGGCGTGGGGCATGCGCAGCACCATTAGTAGGACGGTGGGGAGCGCATGCCAGCAGATGACGGCATGGGGGCGGCCCGCAACAACCTAGAGGGCAGTGTGGCACCGCAAGGGAAAGCTGCAACGACTTTTCCAGGGTGGCACCCCACAGTGGCTTTGGCAGGGTGGCACCCCACGGCTGCTCTGGCAGGGCAGCCTCACCTTGGAGTTACCGGGTGGATGATGGCCAGAGAGCAGCTAATCTGGGCCATTGAGCCCGTATTACAGGGCTGATGGCCAATATCTACTCACGGCCTTGAAGACGTAAGACCTTGCAACAATCTGAACAGTTGGGCAGATAGGACCTAGCGGCCCAGATTGAAGGTCTTCGACATGGGCGCAACAATCCAGGCCAAGGTCCAGTTGGACCGGGGATGGCACAGATTTACGATGTATTACGCTAGCAGTTCTTTTAGTGCAGGAATCATGGCACATCTGCTGCCTGAATTTTCTGTTCCTCAGTCCAAATGCTATGAACATTGAACAATTATAATTCAGGGCAGTTGCCCTTGGAGCCTGGACTCAAGCAAACGACCCTATAGCGGCTCTGTCCAAGGTCAGAAACATGCAGTCCGAACAAGAGACCAAAGGGTTTTGACTCTTGAGGGTTCACCTGTAGGCGAAAAGGGACTCAGGAAGACAACTCTTTACCAGATTGCATTCAGAACTCGTTTTGTGAAGTAAGGGCATTCATCTTGAAGTTGTGCCTGACACATTCGTTGTGGACAACAGAGAGTGCCATTGACGGAGAAATGTGTGTAGCTGCTCCTGCTGCTGCTGGCATATGTCGTCGGCCTTCACGGCTGCATTACCATATGGTCACAGCTGTCGAAGCATTGCTGGCTTGGCTTGTGGGTTGTGACCACCTGTTGTTGCCTGCCAGATGCTTGCTGGCAATGGACTCCTGCTGGAATTGATGTGTTGCCTTCACTTCATTGAAGAGTGCATGACCTGGGATGAGAAGAGGGACATTGTCATTTTCAGGAAAGATAACAAGAAAGAATGACATCATGCCAGGCAAACTGCACACCAAGCAAAAAGGTAACAAGTGTGCTTAGGAGCCAAACACTCGACGTGCCGTCTGAACTCTGGATATCCAGCTTTCTGATTGTTGCTATGAAACCATGTACCTTGTCCCTGACCATGGCACTACACACTCATACATGCACCTGGCAGACAACTCATACAGCTGACAGAAGCAGGACCGGCTGGGGCCATTAACTTAGAGACCAGAAAGCAGGCCATTACCTCAAGGGATGTGCCAGGATAGAAGCTTCCAAGGGATGGTAGTGCTGTATGTCATTTTCCAAGCAGGCTAGAGAATAACCGATGTGTGTGTTTTGAATTTTTACCACAACAGCCCCTATTCCACCCAGATGAGTAGATCCAAAATCGAAGCAGCCTTAATCTATTGCAGACAACAAAGGCACTTGAGTTGAGGCAATCCAACGATGAAACAGTTTCACCCCTATAGGAAACAACATGGAGTATAATAGAAGCATTTAAATCCGTTTTTCTCAATCGTGTTCACTTTTGCTAGCTTTGGGGTACCGATTTCATTTGTTCCACAGCTCCCCTTTTACTTTGCCTCCCATGTACAAGGCTCGCTACGTTGATTGAGGTTGGGCGTGAGCTGCTCACATCCCCGTGTGCCACAACGGCCCACTTGCACACTATGAAAGGAGGCGGAGTAAAGGCGGAGGTATACTCCTGTTCATTTTTCCTCAGATTTCCTCAGATCTTCAGCCTATATTTTGTCTGTTCTCTTAAACCGCCAGTACCTTTCCCGGCTGAAAAACCCACCTCCAAGCATGCCGGAAGGGCGTTCTACAGGCTCGGCACAGCTTCGATGTGAAAACCACGAAGTTCGCTGGGCCAAGTACTGGGTGTTTACGGGGGAGCGGCGCGGCGCGGCCGGGAGCGCCGCGCCGCTCCGCTATCGGCCTGGTCCATTGTGCGCCCGCGGTGCTTCGTTGACTTCGTTTTCGGCGGCGCGTCCTCGGGCGATCTCACATGCGCAGATGGGCGATGGTGGTTGGGGAATCTTCTGCCTAGTGCATGGTGTATATCTTGAGTGGCCATCGACGTGTAGGCAGCTACTTGGACGCTCTTCCAGCTTTGCCAATTAGGGAAAGTCGTCTTCGGCTCTGCGCTTCGTCCGAGTGGTGTTGCAGGTTGGCACGCTGGCGAAGGGGAGATTATCGTTGGAAGAAGGATGATCTCCATGAGGTTTTTTCGGCCATAGTTGAGGCCTTGTTCCTCCGCTCCTGCGCAGTGTTGAGGACGGTGGATGGGAATCGCGGGCGGAAAGGGAGGGGCGCGTTCTCACGTGGAGTGGGAGGAGGAAGATCGTTTAAGTGCGAGCATCCGGAAGGGATTGCGACGACCTTTTTTGCTCCGATTAGTTGATGGGCTCACTGTACACGGGAAGGGCGTCATCATCATCAGGGTGCTGCTCGTCATCACCATCATCGTCATCAGGGTACTGCTCGTCATCATCATCAAGGCGTAGGTCTTCACTTCTGTTCAGCACCAGTATCATCATCATTATCATCATCAGGGGTGCTGCTCGTCACTCATCGTTGTATTACCATCATCACAGTTCACTATCATAAGGGCGCGGTTGGCGAAGTTCGTAATAGGACGCTGCTCATCCCTATCATCATCATCATTAGGTTATCATCAAAGGTGCTCGTCATCAGCACCATCATCATCCTGTTGTTATCACAGGGCGCTGTGCGTTATCATCATCATCATCATCATCATCATCATCATCGTCATCATCATCATCATCACCGACATCATCATCATCATCATCCTCATCATCATCATTATCATCAGTTTGTAATCATAGGGGCGGGGCTGTTGGTGCTGCTCTTTAGTATGATCAGCATCATCATTCTGTCTTCATTCTCATCACTACCATCATCATCATCATCATCATCATCAGTTTGTCATCATTAGATGTTTGCTCTTCAAGGCATTGTTTGCCGTTCACATCAGCAGGTGAGTTGGTCGTCACCATCATCCTCATCATCATCATCTTCAGGGTGCTGTTCGTCGTCACCAGCAAAATCCAAAAAAAAACTAGATGACCTGTTGCAGCTTCGCCCGCAAAAACAGAAAACTAAAAAGCACAAAAGAAAGAAAAAGCATAAGGAGCCGCCCTATTGTTTCACAAAAACAAAAAGCAGAGCCTGAGAGCATACAAAAATCCGCGTGCAAGAAATAGGAGGGAATACCACCGACCTTTTTTTGTTTCTTATCTGCGAGTGTTATGTTTGGGAAGCCGCTGCCTTTGCAGCATCGTTTTTCTTTGGTGCTGTGCAAGAACTGTGAACTTTTATGAGAAAATCCTGTCCGTAGTCCCGTTGACGTTTTTGCTAAAGATTCCGATTCAGACTTTTGTTTTCTATGTTCTCTGAATATGTTTGTGATAAAGCGATCTTGCATGTATGCCTCCTGCTTACTTGCCAAGTCTTGACTCTATGTGCGCAAGTGCWTGCGCGTGTGGGTGAGTTCTCTCAGGTTTGCGATCAATCGATCTTGCATGTACCCCTCTTCCCCGGGCCAATCATCAATGACATGCGCTTGTTGTTGAGTTGCTGGGGTCGGATGATGTCATTGATGATTGGCCCGGGGAAGTTGTTGGAAGGCGCCTCCAACAACAATAGGAGTGCCACTGATGTTAAGCAGGGGTTTTGCATTGTCTGAATGATGAAACAATCAGCAGCATTCAATTTGCTTGGCAGTTGCTCTTCGGGTGGGGGACTTGTCGGGAGTAGCATTGCCATGAGAGCCATAATGCCTGGCGTGCATCTTGGAACATTTCCAGGAAGGCAAAAGGCAAAAAARAAACGTAGCACGTGTCAGAGTCACATAATGGACAGCTTGGCACAGTCCCCCCCCCTTCTCTCTCTCTCTCTCTCTCTCTCTCTCTCTCTCTCTCTCTCTTTTCCCTCCTTGACTTCGAACTTCAAACCCTTTACTCCACCCCTCCCTTCCCCCGTCTATCTTTCCTCACATAAGTACGAAAAAGAAAAGAGAACAGAAAAAGACCGAAAAGCGTGATGAACCTTCAACCTCCCCCCCAGCCACCGACTTCCTCCTAATCCTCATCGACTCCCTCATCTCTCTCTCTCTCTCTCTCTCT